ATGGCCGCCGTATTTCCTGCGCCGGAGTAGTCCATGAGGCGTCTATGCTTATATTATGTCTATGTTGATGTCTATGATCGGGCAAGTGTGAGGACCCATGGCTGCCTTTTACTTCTGCCCGAATGTAATAAAGCGATAATAAATTCATAAAACCAGCTTAAAATATATTAATCTGTAGACACTATGAATTTTTTAGGGAAAATTATTCAGTTAATATATAATTTAGATGCAAATATGTATATTATTTAATACTCTGTTACCGATTGCAAAGAGTTTTTCACAGGCATTGAAAGAGAAAGTCTATTGGGCTTCGATCATCCTTCCGTTGACATTTCTTACCAAACCTCACTTGTAAGCACAACATGTTGGCGCTAGAGTGTTGGAGGTAACGTAGCAAAACAGAATACTGTAATTTCTGAAAGCTAGAAACTTTTCTGGGGCCACAGAGAGGATGTCTCAGATGCTGAGACTTCTCTCGGCGGCTGTTTTGCCTCTCTGCCGGGCCGGAGGAGCCCGAGGTCGCACACTGGGTTCAGGAAGCCTCGCGGTTCGGGTAGGTAACTGTTGACTGTTTCCCATCACTGCTGTAAACACCACTGCGATCCCTTCAGGGACACTTCAGGAGTTAACATAATGTTCCGTAACAACAACATTCCTAAATTGAATATGAGGCTAGATTTAGCAGGTTATCTAAAAGCATTTGTATCTCCGCTGTATTTTTTTAAGCTCAAGTTTCACTTCGCGTGTTTAATCAACAGTTAAGATTTAGATTTCATATCTACTCGATTATTATATCAGAAACTGATGCTTTGTTCTGGATTTTGCTCTTTCAGGTTTTGATCAAAGGTTTTAAAACGAGGCTGAAGTCGGCATCCGATTAGCAGCTTCATATACGGCACTAGACTAAAGGGCTACTCCGCTGCATTTATAAAACCGAGACAACCTTTAAGCAGTTAGAGTTTTAAATCTAACATACAGAGAATGCTCAAACGTGAAGTGGGTTGTGTTACAATACTTAGAGATTACATTAAACACGTTTTTTTTTTTATTTGAGAAACGTCAGTTGTATTGTAAAAACACATTCTATAACCGTTTAGCTCTCAGACCACCTATTTTAAGCGGGGTTCCGCTTAAAATATCAACTAAATGTAGTTTTTGAGGACGTCAAGTTAGCTGTGATTAGGATCGAATCATGGTGGAAACATTACATCAGCCACTCAGAGATGCAGTCTCATGCTGTGAAACAGCTGAATAATAAGTTCAGCATGAACTGAACTTATAATTGAAGTTCATTTCAATAATAGACTGAACTTGAAAACATTGTTTAATTACTAGAATCAAATTATAATATATCTAACTTTGAAACTGTTTATCCGTGTTCTGTATACAAACTTAAAGGTTGTAACCTCAGTGCTCTTTTATAAAGAGCATTGAGGTCACATTTGTTTGACAGTTTTATTGGTCGCTATATAAATAAAATAAAGTAGTTGATTTAAACAGCTTTATCGATAGATCCTGTCTCATGGAGAAGCTGTGTCACAGAAGGGTTAAAAGGTTAGTCTTCATAAAAAAACAACAGAAAAAAAAGAAAACAAGGATAGTTGAGATAGTTTCTGTCCTGTTAACAGTTAAAATAGGTTAACGCCAGAAAGGTGAATTAATCACTATATAGAGCAAAGCTCACTGAATATACTTAACATCCATTTTGCTTCTCTGCTGATCAGTGGCATTAAGGGTTATTAGAGTCCATCAAAGAATTGTTCTGGGAGAACAACGAACAATATTTTGGACTTAGCTTAGCCTCTGCAGAGTCTGGAACTTATTCTAACTTTTTTTTTGGATGAAAACATTTAAGCAATTCTAAATTAGAATAAAGGTTGCTGAAGGTTATTAAAACAATGGCACAGCAAGATTAGTGCTGTAATCAAGGCAAAATCCCAACCAAAACAAATATATCCTTTCCTCAAACTGTGTAAACTCTTGAGGTGCTTCTATCAGAGTCTATGTGGTTCCTTATGGTAGAGTCTTGTATCTGCTGTGTTCTGATGTTGTCTTTTTTTTTTGCAGGACTGTAGTTTTTTTAGTCAAAGTCAAGCTAATTTCTTGTCTCGTCAAAGAGCCTGGATAGCTAAGCGATGCGTCTATTCCACCGAGCCAAAAGGTGAGAGCTGCTAGATATGATCATCTGCTCGATTTTTATTTGAAACTTTTTGTAAAACTTTTTATTACTTTTATATGCAAAACAATTTCTACTATGAAAACTACTGAATTTAATAGCTTGCATAAATCCGACTTTTGAGTCTACTCATTTTTCTGAGTGTCGAGTTTGGACCTTTGAGAGACCAGTTCTCACAACAGGCTCACTGTCATTAGCCTGCTTTGTCCATTCCACAACCAAAGTAAGACAATTTTATTTTCAGGCCACCATTCTATAGAGCTCCTGGATACATCCAAATGCAAATTTCAGTCAAACTTGATGAAATTAGCAAGTTTAGACTCTTTTAGATTAGAATCTAAAAGATTAGGTGATGTCAAAAGGGTGTGGGATGGCTATAGGGTAACAGGTTTTTATGTTTTAATTGTCTCTTATTGATATTTATTAAAACACTTTTCTGTAAATAGCATAGATTGCATAGTTTTATGTTTTTTTATGTAAAGTTGTGTGAATGAGGGCCTGCAGATGGAAATTAGCTTGAGAGCTAAAGCCTGTTACATAGCATCTTTTCATATTTTTTTTACTAATACTCCTATATGTGGTCCTTGTCAAAAAATCACTGAAACAAACCGGGAGCAGATTGCTCATCGTGTTATGTAAAATTTACTTTTTTGAGCTTTTTGTTATGTTATTCCCTCATCAAAAAAATACCTGGAATGTCGCCTCGCTTCTTTCATGCATGTTTGATCCTTTTGGTGATTCTTTAATCTCCCATGGCAACCATTTTGCTCCTTCAGACTAGCCAGCAGCAACTGGCAGACATCTGATAGAACTGCTCATCTGCTGAGCTCATTATAGGAGCTACTTCTCAGAGCAACACTAGAAAAGATTTTGTTAAAGGGTTAATAGAGGAGCCATGATGACTTCCTGAAGGCAGAATTACAGAGTAGAAGTTTCTTAAAGATATATATATATATAGCTATATTATAACACAAAGTAGAGTTTGCAGTAAAATATTTGTAGGCTCTTATATTTTAGTATTGCCAATCATCATCATGGAAAGAAGTGCCTCTTAGTGGTGCAATAAGTCTTCTTGTCGGCATTTCAGATGGAAAAGGAGGAGCACCAGCAGGAGGCGGAGGAGGACGACCAGGAGGAGGGAAGAGAGGAGGTGGAGGGAAAGACTGGTGGAGTCGGATGCAGAAGGTTTGTCAGGAAAAATGAAGCCATGAAGATCCAACAGTAAATGATAATATTTGTAAACTTTGCAGATTGATCCTTTTGATAAAATGTAGAAAATTATAAAAATAAGCAAACTGCTGAGTGGTGGTGCAGATGATTGCAGAGTTTCTCCCTGTTGGTTAAGAGTAGCTTGAGGGTCATTTTATACAGATGAAGTAGCACCTGCACAAGTCTTCCCTTCTGCATCTTAAAAAATAGAAGTTTTGCTTTGGAATCTAGTGGGAAAACTGTAAGATGTCAATCAATGTGTGTCTTGTGGGTTATTTTATTTTTGCCCAGTGCCAGTAATAACCTCACATTATCTTTATTTGGTGCTGGATGTGTCTGTTTTCAGGGCGACTTCCCCTGGGATGAGAAGGATTTCCGCTACATGATGCTCACTGTTGCTGGAGTCAGCTCAGCGCTGCTCTACTTCTACTTCCGAGACACGGGCCGAGAGATCAGCTGGAAGGACTTTGTGCACCGCTACCTGGGCAGAGGCCTGGTGGAGCGGTTGGAGGTGGTTAACAAACAGTTCGTCAGAGTCATCCTGGTACCAGGAGCGGATGCTGAGGGGGTGAGGGGATGTTAAGGTCTATCAATGGTTGTTGCAATACAGCAAAACAAATACATCAAAGTAGTTATCATCAATCCCTTTGATTTAGCATTGAACAGTCATTCTCTAGTTAACCTGCTTCTGTTTCAGACCGTTACATTCAGTCCTTTATGTGTTCCTCAGAGTTACGTGTGGTTCAACATCGGCAGCGTTGATACATTTGAGAGGAATCTTGAGGCTGCACACATGGAATTGGGCCTGGAGCCATCACACCGGGCCGCTGTCATCTACAGCTCTGAGAGTGACGGGTGAGTTTAACCCTTTAACACCCAAAGAACAGAGTTTGATCCTCACTATGGGGGAAAAATGAGAATCACAATTTATTTGGTCAATATTAAAAAAAATGATGACTCATTAAGTTTGAAGCACACTGGGCTGCAGAGGTAACGGTTCACATCAGCATGTCCACCTGGAAATATTTATAAAAACTGTCTTTTATTTCAGTTATTCCTTCCATGAGTTGACCTGAATTTCAAGTCAAAATAAATATAAGTTGTAAAATACGCTTTGTCAGACAAGATGGTTGTTCTTGGTGGGTTAACATCACAGGAAGTACAAAAAAAAAAAAATCCAGATTTTCCAAAATTTAAATCTTCAGTTTGATAAATTGTAAATTTATCAAATACATATCAAATCGATACATAAATTGTATCAATTTATCGCCCAGCCCTACTCTGTACATCAGCACTGGTGGTCATTGTAAAGGTTGGAACAACTTATTGTGAAAGTAAATTCAAGATTTGTCTGATTCCATCCACATGCAAAAATATAGAAAAAGCTTGTTCATCCTGGGCTTTTTGTGTAAGACGAATTCATAAGCTGGTTGCTAAGCCACATGATTAAATTCGGCTTTCCAACAAAGTTGCTTTATATTCTGCGTATTGGTGAATCAGCTGAGTAATAAACAGGTCTGTTGACGTTTCTGCACCATCTCTGAATGTTTTAGTCACTTGAACGATATTATTATTCTTAGATTTCATATTGCTGCATAGAAATGTTACAGTATATTTCAGTAGATTTTTTTTCTTGCATCCTTACAGCTCCTTCTTGATGAGCATGATTCCTACTCTGTTGCTGATTGGCTTTCTGCTGTTCACACTGCGGCGTGGACCAATAGGAGGAGGCGTTGGTGGAGGAAGGAGCCCATTCAGCATGAGTGAGTCGACAGCCAAGATGATGAAGGACAACATAGATGTCAAGTTCAAGGATGTGGCTGGCTGTGAGGAAGCAAAACTGGAGATTCTGGAGTTTGTGAACTTCCTGAAAAACCCACAGCAGTACCAGGACCTGGGAGCCAAGATCCCCAAGGTGAGAGCAGCCAGGCCTGTCAGAAGGCAGAAGGGAAGTCCTCCGTCCTCGTTCTTCAGGTGACAGTCGGTTGATGAGTGTGTTTTCGCAGGGTGCCATTCTGTCTGGACCTCCTGGCACAGGAAAGACTCTGCTGGCCAAAGCCACAGCAGGAGAGGCCAATGTCCCCTTCATCACAGTCAATGGCTCTGAGTTCCTGGAGATGTTTGTCGGGGTCGGTCCAGCCAGGGTGAGTGGAATAGGCCCCGCCGCTGTCCAGTGCAGTGCTTCTCAGGAAATGAGAGTTGAACTAACACGGCTTCTGTGAAGGTGAGGGACATGTTTTCCATGGCGAGGAAAAATGCGCCATGCATCCTCTTCATTGATGAGATTGATGCTGTGGGGAGGAAGAGAGGAGGAGGAAACTTTGGGGGTCAGAGTGAACAGGAGAACACATTAAACCAGCTGCTGGTGGAGATGGACGGTACAGCCACATTCTGCTTTAGAGCCTGCTGCATTTTTTTCTCTCTTTTTTTAAATTTTGTTATTCTGTTTCTCAGGTTTTAACACAGCTACTAATGTAGTGGTCCTCGCTGGAACCAATAGGTCGGACATCCTGGACCCCGCTCTGATGAGACCAGGACGCTTTGACAGACAGATTTACATTGGTACACTCAGTCTTTATGTTTACTGCAGCTCACAGTTTGTGTGGGAATCTGGTTAAACATCAGGATTTTATGGAAAGCTGACCTGTAAAACCAGATTACTGAAAATATTCAAGGTGGACATCAGCTTGTCTGCCTCAGAGGACATGTGTTGGAAAACCAGAGTGCTCATGTACAAATACTTGACGCACATCACTGATGTATTTTTCCCTCCTCCTCTCAGGTCCTCCAGACATCAAAGGCAGGGCTTCCATCTTCAAAGTTCACCTGCGACCAATCAAACTGGATCCCAGTCTGGATAAGGACGCTCTAGCAAGGAAAATGGCAGCTGCCACACCAGGATTCACTGGTGTGTAACATCTACTTGATTTATGTGAAGCTACGATTTTGTTGTCCTTAAGCTTTTTCACGACAGATAAAATTGAAGTACTTTGCGATAACTGTGAAGTAAATCTCTAAATGTTAAAGACAATTATATAGAAATTGCATTCGTCAACATTATCGACAAATAAACTGATATATTCAATCCAGACTATGATACTGGTTTGTATTTTTTTTGTCAATGAATCAGGTGCTGACATTGCTAATGTGTGCAACGAAGCAGCTTTGATAGCTGCCAGGCACCTGAGCCCCGCCGTCAACCCAAAACACTTTGAGCAGGCGATCGACCGTGTCATCGGAGGTTAGTCACCAACTTTAGCTGCGTTGCTGGCTTTTTTTTCACATTGCCAATGAAAATCCTGTGTCTTATGACATAAAATAAAAACGGCTAACAGATGGACTGAAAAGAACATTTACTATACAGTATATTTTATATTCATGTTTCACATTATCTGCCTGTGTTCAGGCCTGGAGAAGAAGACTCAGGTCCTGCAGCCGATGGAGAAGAAGACGGTGGCATACCATGAAGCCGGCCACGCCATCGTGGGTTGGTTTCTACAGCACGCTGACCCGCTGCTCAAAGTATGGAGTCTGAACATGGCACCATCACATCATGGCAACAAAATCAACTTCACATTACATGCCAATATTAAATGTAGGCTGAGGAGTTTGTCATGAATTTCTATTCAGAGTAAGCACAGACTGTTATAGAAACCAAACTGACTTCAATAATTAACCATAAAGAAAATAAAACCAGCAGAATCATCATCCAGCAATGCAAGAGTGATGCTGTTCATCTAGTCATTAGAAAATCTGTTTCTCTGTGTAGCAATATTGGAAAGCACTTCAAATGGACGCTATGGGTAGAAAAATATTGGATAAATCCTGTCTATTTACCATTCAGTCTACTTCTATAAAGTTACTAACAGTAAATCTGATGGACCACTTGCAGCATTTAAGACGGTATTCTTTGGTGTTTCAACACACATGTACACAGAACACTAGGTCTTAGAAAGAATAGGATTTTTGTTTTAAGAGAAGAACTCTTAAAACTGTCGGCTTCCAAATAAACTGACAGCAATAAACATAAACCACCCCAAAACTTAATTTCATTCTAAAAATAGGAGCTGGTATTGGTCCTTGTTATGCTCTTTAAAGACATTGACCAAGTTTCTCCTTTGTAAGTCCACTAGAAAGTGGTGTACCGCTGGAAATGGCTGCACCTGATCATCAGCTAACAGGTTTTAGTAATTATATAAAGTTTTCTATTTAGAAATATGAAAGCATGCCATGACCTCCTGGACAGCAACAGTTGGACACACATGTATTCAGGAACAGAACCAGTGGAGGAGGAAGTTGTGGGTTCTCTCCATGAAGTAGAGCTGGAGGTTTTAGCGTGCTTTCACCGAAGGGGTAAAGATATCTGGGGTGAGAGGGTGTTTAGTTTTTCTCTGGTGGAGCAGATATAAAATAGTAGCAGAGTTTGTTCTGGTTTGTTCCTGTAATATGGAAGAATGTCTTTCACAAGGAAAGCCTCAAATTCACATTAAAAGCTTTTACTTTGCACAGGGGATTGTCATGAATCCCTGGTGTAGTTTTGCAAACATTGGTGTAGAACACATATTTTGTGTTGTAGGTCTGTCTATGGCTAGATTATTTTCACAATATTCCAATTCCAAGACAAAACAATTAATAGTGCCTCATGTAACTGGACAGTTGCTGCTACTGCAATGTAAATACATTGCAGTAGCAGCAACTGTCCAGTTACATGAGCCTTGCCTTTTTTTCAGGTGTCCATCATTCCACGGGGGAAGGGTTTGGGTTATGCTCAGTACCTGCCTAGAGAGCAGTACCTCTACACCAAAGAGCAGCTGTTTGACAGGATGTGCATGATGCTGGGAGGGCGTGTGGCCGAGCAGGTCTTCTTTAGCCGGATAACCACCGGAGCTCAGGATGATTTGAAGAAGGTCACACAGTCGGCCTATGCGCAGGTACACACACGCATACACACACCTACACACACACACACACGCACACTTGCTGGGTCCAAGTAATATGGAAGAAGGGGACTCTTTGTTGAGTTGTGACACTTCTCTCTGCTGATGTTCAGGTGGTGCAGTTTGGGATGAGTGACAAGGTGGGGCAGGTGTCGTTTGACCTGCCCCGGCAGGGTGAGATGGTCCTGGAGAAGCCTTACAGCGAGGCGACAGCTGAGCTCATTGATGAGGAGGTTAGAGGACTGGTGGATCGAGCGTATGAGCGCACCCTGCAGCTGATCACCAACAAGAGGGACCAAGTGGATAAGGTGAGACCTTTTATGTGAGATGTTTATCAGGTGGCACAGGGAACAGGAGGGAGTTCAGGGTTGTTCCCTATGTTTAAAGAGGTAGTATTATGTATTTTTAGGCACATAGTGTCATATTATATCTGTCAGGTTACTGTGTTAACTTCAGTTAACTGTATATATCAAACTGAAACTGCAATTTCATTGTCTTTCTGACAATGACAATAAATTCTTCTGATTCTGAAACATAACTTGGAACAGTGGTTCCCAAACTTTTTCTCCTGGGCCCCCCAGTGGTTTCCAAACTTTTTCTGCCCCCCCCCCCCCCCCGGTATCACCAAACTATATTTGGAGAGAGGAAACACTATTTTATAT